TCTTCTCTTCTCTTCTCTTCTCTTCTCTTCTCTTCCTTTCCTTGTTTTATTCCATGTCCCACAAACTTCTGCATATTAATGAGTATTTTGCCTTGGTGTTGTGCTTATACAGACTTGTATAAAATCCCGTTCTGGCATTTTATTCTTTATACAACTCTTCTGGCTGTGCAAAATCTATTTTGTTGTTATTGTTTGTTTGGGTATGAATGGGAAGACACCAGGGTTGGTAAGCTGAATATCTGTGGGTATGTGCACCCTTGAAAAGAACAAGGCCCTTGAGACCTAAACTGCTTCCCCTGAAGTTGCCAGGCCCAGCTTTCTCATTCCAGGGATAAGAAATGCACAGCTATAAATAGACTTTCCTTAATTCATCTTTCTCTTTCTTTTTTTATCTAGTTACAGATGAAAACAGTGAATCAGACAGTGACACTGAAGAGAAACTGAAAGGTAAGGCAAATGTGTGGAGAGAGCAAATGGCTCCTGATAAACTCTGAGCTCCCAGGACAAGATCTCTCCTCTGTGTCCCACCTTTGGAGAAGGACCTTGTTTCTGCATAGAACACAGCAAGAAGACAAAGATCTCAACACTGCAGAAGAAAATCCATGGGCAGAGGGGCTGTAGGAGCCCAAAACAAACATCTCTTCCAACTCCCATCAAAACTCCTCGTGGACTGACTTTCCCAGGAGGAGTATTGGACACTGAGGAAATACAGTGAGATTTCTCTAAGTGCAGAGTCACAAGTGTGTGGCCAGGCTGGCAGCAGCAGTGTTGCATGGCACTGGATGTCCACACACCTCACCACATGCTTACCATGGGAGAAAAGCCACCAGCCAGGCTGGCTAGCTAGGAAAACAGAGTTGCACTATATGATTTATTGCTGGTTAAACTTTCCTGCACTGGCTGGGTTGGGATAAAGCACTGCATTTCTTTCTTCACTCCTGTAGGATTATTTGGTGTACTGGTCTCCAAAATACTCTCCTGAAACCTTGTACTGGTTGTCCAGCCCCTGGACATTGTGGGGACGTTGCTGTCTTTTGGGAATTTGTGTGGCAAATTCAAAGTCCTGGCAGAGTTAGAATGCAAGATGGAAACTCCCTCGCATTCCAAAGTTTCCTGACTCACATGCACATCAGATCTGGATAGCAGGACAGTTGAGTTCCAGGCTGAAAAGACAGGCATGAGCAGCAGTTGGGCTGTGTGTGAGCCACAGTGCATTGTGAGTGGGAGTGCTCGTTCTCACCCTCTTCCAGGTTTTTAGAAGTGAAAGCTCAGACTCAGTTCCCTCTTGTGAGCACAGCTTCCCACTCAAGAACTACTGTATGCTCTTGCTTTCATCTGCATTGAAATCTTCTATTTGTATTGCTATGTTAGCAAGATCAAGCTGAAAACTGCTGCCACTGCCTGCCTTTTGACAGGTTCTAAGGCTTAGCCTGGAGACAGGAGAGAGGGTTTGCACCAGGATGGTGCAGGAACGACTTTCACAACCCTCCTGAAATGTGATGTTGTGAAATACAGACCATGTTCAGATTTAGCTGAAAAGGCAGTGTAGATGTGGCCAGGAAGACTTGAACTCTTGTCTGCTGCTGGTTGCCATAGTGAATCATGTGCATCATCCTGTGATTCTCTGTAACTGCAGCTCAGAACTCCCTAGAGACAGGATGATGGGGATCATATGAAGTCACCTCAAATCCAACAGCACTGGGCTCTGAATAATATCCAGATCCAGACCTGGGTCTGAGTGACTATGCAAGTCTGCATAAGTGTGATCAGGAGCTCTGGCACTTGCTGTTTGCTCTAACTATACTTGTATTTTGCTTTATGCCTCGTTGAACTGTTGAGTTCCCTATTTTTAAATAGGAAAGTGAGATGATTTAGCAAGTCTCTTGTATTTGGGACTTTGTATATTTTGTGTAACACATCAATCACCCCAGCCAGCTACCTCTGCTGGAAGTCACTGTACGTCTTTTGAGACACAGTAAATCATAAGTCTGTGTGTCAGAGCTGGAAGTGCTGGCCCTTGGAAAGGAAAAAGCTTGGAAGACAAACTCTGCCATGATGACAGCATCTTGCATCTGGTATCTTTAGAATATAACAGCACAGAGCATTTCAGAAGCACTCAGCATTGCTATGACACTGCTCCTTTTGAAGTCCCTGGTGAAACAGAAACCACTTCTGAAAGCTTTGCATCCCTAGAGCAAATAACATAGTAGGTGACAAGACAAAGGAGTCTAAGCCATTTTTCCAGGGCTTTACCTGTCCAGGGCTTGTTACACTTTCTAATTTGAGAGGCACCTCAAGATTGCTTTAAATTACATTGTCTGGAATAGTCCATGAGTGGCACAATTTTACTAGACAGAAGATAAACAAGTATATACCATCTCTCATGAAGTCCTGTCTCCCAAGCAGATACCTTATGTTTTGGAATTCCTATAGTGTCTCTGTGGTTGTTATTCCCATCAAAAAGTTGCATTGCCACCCAACTTTCCAAAAAGCAAAGCTGTGAGAATGTGCTGTAGTCTCTGCTGGTAGTTAATTCTTTCTTTCCTTTGTAGCAGGGATAAGGGAGACATCATGGAGATTTAATTTGGGATGCAACTGTAGAACAAAGCAGGGGGGTGGTCTCAGGGAATCTCATCTGGTCTTTTCTCAGCAAGCAACTTTTCATGACTTTCCATGCTTGAATGTTTCATTTCCCATGGCTCATGTGTGTGTTGCAGTTACAGCTTGCTTGGCAATTTTTCTTGTTTTCCCATTGTCTTGGGTGAACTTGTAGAAGCATGGCACTGAGAGATTAGTTTTAGGCACAGGAAGAACTGGCATGAGCCAGCATTTTTCACTGGCACCTCTCTTTTGTTGTTGGCCTACAGCCCAGCCTGTGTGCTGGAGCTGGGAGTCCCCAGCATTACTCAGACAGCAGAGCCCTGGCCTCACCCAAATGCTGGTCTTGTAAAACCGTGGGGATTGCTGCCCACAGCCTCTGAACAAAGGTGGTCACCCACCTCACTGTGCTGGCTTTGAAAACTGCATAAATGAGTGCTAGGATGAATGCCTGGATATTATCTGTTACATGTCCTATATGGGTCTCAGCTTGGGCTGTTTCAGCTGTAAAAGCTATCCATGAAATCCTCCTGCTGCCAAAATTCCTCGGGGTGATGGCACAAGATTATGGCCCATCTCTATCAGTATTTACAGCGCAGCTTCCAAATGGTCAGCCACTGCCAGTGCCAGTGCAGTGAGGTGATTTCAGGTGTGTCCCTCGTCCCTGCAGAGCTGTGTTGGTGCCCTGTGCAGAGAGCCAAAGGCAGCATCTCCCCTTGTTTCCATAGCTCACAGCCAGCGCCTGGTGCACGTGAAGTCCCGGCTGAAGCAAACGCCGCGGTACCAGAGCCTGGAGCGGGACCTGATCGAGTACCAGGAGAGGCAGCTCTTCGAGTATTTCGTCGTGGTGTCGCTGCACAAGAAGCAGGCTGGGGCTGCCTACATCCCCGAGGTCACCCAGCAGTTCCCACTGAAGGTCTGCCCCACCTGGCTCACATTGTGGGGTGCACTTGGAGGGCTGGAGGAGCTGCAGCTTCTCCACGTGTTGTATCAGTGACCCCTCTGCTGTGTCAGAAGAAGTTAGTGGGAGGGCTTCAGTTACTACCTGAGAATTGTCATGGTGTTGCTCACTCCTGAAAGAGCAGCTGACTTAGATCTTTTGCTGCACTTGGCTATGACTTTTGTGTAGCTATTCCCTTTCTCCCCCTTTCCTCTTTAAAGAAAACTGATGGTTGGGAGAACATACATGTTCTGAAAGGGAAGAAACAGCTTTTGGTGATAGTCTAGCTCAAAATGGGGAAGGAGGAATGGGAGAAACACAGAGTGTGACAGAGTCATTGTAAATGGGATGTGACCAGAGCTCCCCTCAGACTTCAGTTCTCATTCCCCTTGCTGGAAGTTGTGTCCCAGATTAGAGGCACAATACAGCAGGGGCAGGTGCTGCAGAGACAGGGCTTGGTGGAATTGGGGCCATAGAGTTACCTTGAGATATCTAAAGATTAGGTGAGCCAGAATCACAGAAATTTTAATATCTTCCAGGCAGAAGCTTAGCCTCTGTCATCACCTCTTCATTTGTCACAGGAAAAATATTTGAAGCCATTCCATCCCCACATGACTAATTGGAAACATTCCTTCTCTCTGTTCTGCTAGCTTGAGCGCTCGTTCAAATTCATGCGTGAGGCAGAAGATCAGTTGAAAGCTATTCCCCAGTTTTGCTTCCCTGATGCAAAGGACTGGGCCCCCATCCATCAGTTTGCCAGGTAAGTATTGTACTTTGTATCCTGATTCATGAGAAACAGATTTCTCTATCTACCTAATTAAATACAAGAGCTGTTAAGGTAGAAGATTGGGCTGAGCTCTGAGAGGGGTGCATGGGAAATGCAGAAATACTGGGGGTTTATTGGGTTTGTATGTCTGAGACTGCTAATGTGGCTGATGGGTATCTTGTAATTCTGGTTTCTCTTTGCAGTGAGACATTCTCATTTGTCCTGACGGGGGAAGATGGAAGCAGGCGATTTGGGTATTGTAGGAGGCTGCTGGTAATTATCCCTGAGTTTCTTTCCTTTTTCCTTTCC